TACAGACAAAGTGGAACTGTTAATTCTTTCTTTTCAAAATATTAACTACTACGTCCAAACCACTTCCCTGCCTTCTTCCGCGTTCGGATATCGTTCTCAGTAGCGTTGCTGTACTATCAGAATTAATTCAGAAGTATGTACGCGCCGTTTAAAATAGTCGCATTCTTCGGGAATGGATGGTAATGAAAGGGTCCCTTGGCCTTACATATGCAATTTATTTATTTCCAGCTCAATTACATAGGTTTCAAACATGCCCAAGTTACCTAGCCATCTATTGTTAAACTCCTTTTGGGCAGCTTTTTCTCCGAAGCATGAAAATTATATATTTTAGTGACCCAGCACAGCGTGCAACACTCGCCCCTCACGGCTGTCAGAAAGTACACACGCGCCAGTGCCTGCGTAACCCAATTCAGTCTGGCCAATCATATTTATGTGGCTGACTCAAATGGCCACGCTGTATACGCTGCAATGTCTCCCATGCTCTCACACTGCGCACGCTCGCTCACCCGATTGTCAAGTTGCTCCAACCTATTCTTCACTAGCTCTGTACTGAATGCTCTACTTCTCCCAGCTGGCGTTCCACTTATTCTCTTTCCCTCTGCAACCGCGCTGAAGATCACAACAGTTAGGGCCTTCTCTATTAATTTAGGCCACTGAGATATATCAATCTGCCTGTATTCAAGTCAGGATGTAGTTTCGATGTTAAAAACTATCAGAACGTGCATTAAATTCTATAAAAAATTATTCAAACGATTATATCCAACGAAACTGTTGATTGCTATCTATCCATTCGGCTTTTGAGCTCTATTGAGCATGAAAGTCTACCCCGAAAATCTCGCGTAACTCATGAATCCGTCGTTCTCTCTGTCATGTCCTTTTTAATACTGCCAATCTGTCATAATTTGTCTTGTTCGCCCCCAACGCGTGCCCACACTTCACTTTTTCTAGGACTCCTAGTGGCCAGAGCGTGTCTCTTCTGCAGGATACGGGAGCCTCTTGCATGTTAGTTTGCTTGAAATTTCGTTGGACGGGTTGCAGACCTATACAGTCCCGTCAGCTTTCAATGGCCAGTGGCTCTGTTCTTTACCCGGAGAGAAAAGCGTACTGTTCCGTGACTATAAGCGATTTCGCTAAAGACTGCCTTTTCGTACCTGCACTTATGCAACTGGATGCGATCCCGGGTATGAATTTTCTGCGCCGTCCTCATGCGTCCTTTGAGTTGTCCCCCTCAGAATTCGCCTAGGTGATATGGAGGTGTTTCGCACGAATGCTGTTTCGGCAATCGTTGGCAGACCGTGGAGGGTTCCTTTGATGTCTGGGTCTGATGTTAGTGAATCGTGTCTGCAAACGATTTTTCATACCTCGTTCGAGGTCAACATCCAATCCTTAGGGCATACTCATGTTCAAGGACATCCTATCAACACGGATGACTCTAGACCTCTCCGTCGAGTGCCTCGACGAATTCCAGTTTTCCGTCAGAATAAAAATTTAAAAGGCGACTCAATGTATGCTGGATGTATGCATTATTCTGCATTATGCACTCGGGGTCGCTTCCTTACTTAATGAATTTAATGTGCTGTCTTTTGGTCTGGTGAAGGCACCGACCATGTTTCAACAGCTAATAACCATTGTCTTGTGCGAAAATGCACAGAGAT